TGAAAGCGCTTAAAATGCCTATTTTAAATAAATAATAAATACGGGTTTCAGTCTTGTACGTTAGCAATATGAGAAATATAATGAAATCGTCGTTAACTGATACTAATTAATATAGTATTTCGTAGTCGTCGTGGCCTAAAGAATAAGACGTCCGATGCATTCGTAACTAGCGATGCACCGATGTTCGAATCCAGCAGGCGGGTATCAATTTTTCTAATAAAATATGTACTTAACAAATGTTCACGATTGACTTCCACGGTGAAGGAATAACATCGTGAAATAAAAATCAAGCCCGCAAAATTATAATTTGCGTAATTACTGATGGTAGGACCTCTTGTGAGTCGGCACGGGTAGGCACCACCACTCTGCCTATTTCTGCCGTGAAGCAGTGATGCGTTTCGGCTTAAAGGGTATGGTGACCGTTGTAACTATACTGAGACCTTAGAACTTTTATGTTAAGGTGGGTGGCGCATTTACGTTGTAGATGTCTATGGGCTCCAGTAACCACTTAACACCAGGTGGGCTGTGAGCTCGTCCACCCACCTAAGTCATAAAATAAATAAATAAATGTATCAACGTCCAAATAAAACTAAAACCCTGAGTTCGGTCTTTAGCTAGGAACTATAATTAAATTGGGCGTCAGGTAGTCCGGTTTAGCAGCAACGTTGGGGTTAATTTGGCCTAGACTTGTTAGTACTTACGCTTTGTTTTTGCTGTGAACATATCGACGCTTGAAAGGCGAACGTGACTAAGCGACAATAGCTGCTTTGTACATAAATGATAGGCAATAACCATATTCGATGCGCAAAAAAATATATATTTCTAGGTCTATTAAAATCATTTCCATCCTACAGCTGGTCTGGCCGTCTGGTGTAGTGGTAAGTGACATGGTCACTACACAAGGGGGTCGCGGGTTCGAATCCCGCCAAGGGAAGATATTTGTATGATAAATATAAATGTCTTTTTCAGGGTTATGGATGTCTATTAAATATATGTATGTGTATAATAAAAATCTTACATTTATATCCGTTATCTGGTAACTGTAACACAAGTTCTTTACGAACTTATCACGGGACCAGTTAACGTGGCGTGATTGTTAGTAAATATTTATTTATTTATTTATTTACAGCTAGATTCGTTATAATAGAAATTTTTCAGGTATTTCAACTTTAAATTAGTCTAGTGTAAAGTTCACGCATTGTCGCTTAGTCACGTTTGCCTTTCAAGCGTCGATATGTATATCGAGAGGTGAAAAGCTATTCAGTTTAAGCGACGTTTCGGTTAATACGCTACATTTATCTTTGTAATTAAAGGTGCATTTTATTTGGTATTAGTAGAATTCGATGTTTTTAATAATTGAAGTTCAATCATGTTTATCTGATTCAAATAGCTGAAGTATTGTTTTTTTTTTTCATGATATTTTTCCAAATTTTAAACTTTAAATGGCTCTCCAGTAAAGTTGCAAAAATGTCGGCTAAACCTATCCAATACCAATAGCCTTTCACCCGTCGATATGTTGAATTTGAAAAAAAACTTATGATTAAAATTTGTGAAAAGCACATATTTGGAATATCTCAAAGTGAAATGATACAGTGATGCGTTTTAATATAACATCAAAGTTCTAATATAGAAATGGCACGTACAGGTTATTACATAAGATACGTTTATATCTATGTATAAAATCTGAAACGCCGGCCTTATCCTCTAACTTTAGAAACTCGGGGTGAGAGTGTGTGTGAGTAATTAGAGAAATCCTTAAATACGGAAAATCTAGCCCTCATTATAGCTTCCACTTTACTTTCAACCTTAGTAAAAGGATTAAATGATGGCAAACCCTACTATTTTAGTTACTACATAAAATTACTTACTACACTCTGATTTGAGGCGGTTTGCCACCGGGGGTCCAAAAAATACGTCCTTTTTTTCCTACCTATGCTGATAGCCTTGAGAGGCTATTTCAGCTTCTCCTTGACGTGTAATTGAGCTCATGGGGCTCAAACCGGAGTGTTGCTAACACTGGCCTCAGCAAGGGCAGTGCTTCCGACGTCGACTGTTTACCATTCGGTCCACAGGATCGGGTATGTAATTATCGGCGGTTACGACAAGAGGGTTTTCATGTCGTGCCGCCTCCTCAAAGTGATACGTCCGGTAGTGTTCTAATCTCCATTGGTTTCGATCCAGCGGTGATGAATCACTGCTTAGGCTAACTTTGGGTAACTCACTGGCAGTAACAGTCGTATTCACTGCTCTCACATCCAAACGGGAAGGTGACAAAATATTTGATAACTTTGTCATGACTTGTGTTAATGTTCAATCTTGTGGGACGATAATTGCGATTTGACGAAATTGGTTTGGCTTAAAAATGAGTGCTTTAGGAACAATGGGTAAGTTCCAACTGACGTGTTTAATTCAGCGGCAAAGTTTTCACATCACATTCCAGTATTTTAGTCAACATTTCAATAGGATTTCAACTTGGATTTCGCGTTTGGAACATGGCACCATGATTTACACTATGGTCTCGGTGCGTCGCTTCGGTAATCACTTAATTACAAATTAACTAAAAACTATTTACAAGTTAATAAAAATGTTCAACAAAACTGAAATAATACAATTGACAGTTAAAACAAGAAGTCCAAAATAGAAATGAAGTTCAATTGAGTTCCGATATATGTATATTAAAAAATAATAAATATATTTCGAACGTGTAGTAAAAATATATTATAACAAATTTACACATTCAATAACCCTATCGTAATCAATAAACGTATTTCACAATTGGATGGCTCTCAACATTTATTATAAAAATATGTATTTTCTTATCGCTTTGCTTCTAAGAAATATTTGGATGTTTCATCAAAACTAGAAATCAAAAGACAACTTCCAGAGAAAAAAAACCACAAGAATATTAAATCTGCCAGTTCAGAAAATCGAAATTGTAAGTGGACCATAGAAATAATTTGTGGTATCGAAATCAGATTTACGATTAAAATACAGACGTCCCACGCCAATATTCAGCCGTTGAGCCGTAGATACGATTAAACAGGTTATGCGGTTATCAAAGGGAAATAGTTAGGGCCAGTTTGATTACTTGGGCGTCCTTTGATTTAACATTTCGAAGCGTGAAATCGCGGTTTCGAACTCAGTTAATTCCGAGATATTCCTGAAATATAAGGCGCAAATATTAGAGTTCTGAATTATTATATTACAAATTCTTTTTAGTTTGTATTGTGTTTCGGAAATAAATTTGAATTCTTGATTTTATTTAATTAGTTTAGAAAACTAATTACCAGTTAGAAAACTAATTATGGAAGCAAAATTATTAATAATAATTATAATTATTTTACTTTGTGTATTCGTATGTATATATGGTATTTGTGTATGTATGTGTATGAATATATATACATTTCACTGGGTTGGTACACTGCGCGCAATTCGTTTCCAAATTTTTTTTGTCCACCTGATGGTTGTCCGGAAGAGATCGCTCTTAGCGGTAAGGTTTTCGCGAATCGTACACATAATCAAAACTGCTTTTGGGTAGTTTTAATTATAGATAAATTTATGTGGACCGCGGTCTTAAGTGTTGTGCAGAATTTGCAGCATATTTCTACCTACTTCCTGCCCTCTTGTTTCTGCATGCTGTCTGCCCGTACGGGTAGGTTCCGGTTATCTTGCCCTTTTCGGTAGCTTTCATGTATTCAAGGTTGACTCAGTTACTAAGTAAAATAAAACCAATTTACGAATAAGGCCACGGTACGACGCACTACTTGAATCCAAGTGGCCATAAAGCTACAATTGAGAAGACACGTGACTCACATTTTATAGTTCTTGGTGGGACAGTAACACAGTTGAGTGACGTTAAGCTGTATTACTGTGAAAGCGTTACTGTGTCCTTGTACGTGAACTACGTAAATACGGAAAGTACTGAAATATATAGTTTTTGGAAAACATAACACGAAGTTTTTGTTGTCCTTTCCTGTAAGATGGCACATTAAGCATTTATATAATAAATAGTTTTAATATGACTTGTTATAAAAAATATAGTCTGTGGCTGTGGACCTGACGTTTGACCTCCTTAGAAATGTTCGGCAATTAGGCCAAATTAAGATGGCTGTAGCTTAGGTTCTTAGATTTCTTTACTTTAACCTGGGAAGGTTGGAGTAGGCTTCGCTCTACCTCTTTGTTTTTTCAAGTAGCTCACAAACCATCTTGAGACATTGTGTCAAATTCTCAATTGTATTGTCTAATAACGACTGTCCCATCCTTGAGGCAGGCATGACGGCTTCGCCAAATAAATGTGCAGAATGGTGGTTTTGCCGTAATTATTATAGGCACTATCACGTAGGTCGCTCAAAACGTTGGTCGCATTTCATATTTGCAAATGATACGCTGCGCATCATGTTTGTGTTCCTTTTGACGTCAACTCTTCTCAGTCTGTCGCTAAGCGCCATTTCAGATTTCGCTGTTTCACGCTTTGCCAGAAGGGAACTCAGAAAATATATTCCTACGCCGTCTGTAGTCTTCTGATTAAGTTGTCTACGGAGACCAAGACAAGCCTCCCGGAAACGTGAACTACATCGGCCAGGGTTTCCGCAATCCGTGCCTACCAATGATTTATGGTTGGGTTTAAAATAGTATATCTCAGATATAGCTCACAGGCTATCATGAACAGAAGTCGATGTATTGAAGTTTTTCTTCTTTTTTTTCTTACTAGTGGTATGTGTACCTCTGTCCGCACGGGTAGGTAACACCACCCTGCCTATTTCTACCGTGAAGCGGTAATGCGTTTCGGTTTGAAGGGTGGGGTAGCCATTGTAACTATACTGAGAACTTAGAACTTATATCTCGAGGTGGGTGGCGCATTTACGTTGTAGATGTCTATGGGCTCCAGTAACCACTTAACACCAGGTGGGCTGTGAACTCGTCCAACAATCTAAGCAATAAAAATAAATAAACATTGAAGTAGATGATTAAAAGTTGATGTGTTGTTGTGTTTGTTGTAGGAAAGCAGCGGAAGGTGCGTAGGCAACATGCCGCGCGCCGGCGCCTTTCTTCTGGCGCTTGCGGTCGTCCTGCTAGCAGAATGGGCTCATGCCTCTTATATTGATCCCGGTGAGTGGAATCTTCTAACGTCACATCCGGGACAAATACGACGCGCTGTTTAGCTCTTTACTGGCACAGGCAACAGCTCTTTACTGGTGGTAAGATCTCTTGTGAGTCCGCGCGGGTAGGCACCACCACCCTGCCTATTTCTGCCGTGAAGCCGAAATGCGTTCGGGTTGAAGGGTGGGGCAGCCGTTGTAAATATACTTGAGACCTTAGAACTTATATCCCAAGGTGGGTGGTGCATTTACGTTGTAGATGTCTATGGGCTCCAGTAACCACTTAGCAACAGGTGGGCTGTGAGCTCGTCCACCCATCTAAGCATTAAAAAAAACGCAGGCTTGTCTTGGGAGATTGGTGGACAAGCTTAGGGCTCGTGTAATGTTAAGACCCATAGTCATCAAAACGCCGCTACCCGTTTTGAAGCATGAGGCGGAGACTACAGTTAAACGTCTGTCTCACCCTTCGAACTGGAACACAAACGATTCCTTCCCGACAGTCATAGCAGGATGGTTATACATATCCATTATTATTCCAATATCAAATGGTTTGATAACATTTTGCTTTTCTGTTATTTAGAATTAGGTAACAAAGCTCTGAGGTTATGTCAACTTAATCTATAATAATATTTTTTTGTATTGAATAGGCTCCGAAACTACTGAACCGATTTGAAAAATTCTTTCACTGTTTGGAAGCTATATACACTATCTCCGAGAGACATAGGCTATAATCGTTTAAAAAAAAATCCTTACTAAAACTCCAATAATGTTACGAAAATTAGAAAAATAATAATTAAAAAAAATTAAAAAAATTGGTAAAAAAATTTATTATTTAAATGAAAATAAAAGTTCATTAAAATAATAATTATTATTCAAAGTACCTTTATAATTTTCTATTTTTAGAAACCTGACTCAAATATTAATGTGTGTGTGTGTACTATAATTTTTTTTGTTCAAATTTTTGTTAAAGACCCGAGTCGGAGCGGGTCGCTAGTATTACAATAAAATTAGAGGTGGACCTCACAAAACGATTTAAATTAACATTAGGATTGTAAAGACTGTGAGCTCAACTAGGCAACTATGGTAAATAAAATAAAAAGTTAGCTAATTAGCCCCCGTAAAAACATTTACATTATTCGGCCCTTAAAACATTTACATTATGCGGAAGCAATTTTATTTACTCTTTGATTCTCAACAACGCTTAAATATTTTGACTTGAGATTATCTCAAAGCGTTCAAAGTTATTTCAACGATCTCAATCCTTCGTTTAAATACGATAAAATTCCTTCTTCGGGATATTACGGAAGGGAATTCAACGGTTAAAACTCCAAGTACAACCATAAATCAAGTAACTCTAACATTTTCGATGAAAAACAGTAAAATAAAATCAACTCATTGAGAAAGATAAACGTAATCTGGAGACTGTAAATATTTATTACCGACTTGCTTATAGAATGTAATGATGTCAACAACTTGAGGAGAGAATAAATATTTATTTATCGAACGCGCATCATTTAATATCGAAATGGTTATTTTTGGATGATTTTTGTTTCCTGAAATTCAAATTCAAATTCAAATTCAAAATCATTTATTTCAACTTAGATGTCAGCATAACACACTTGTTGAATGTCAAAATATAAATAACAATGTTAACTTTACCAGTATACCACATACAGTGCAACATAGTATAGTTATTTGCTCTTGTATCGTGTGAACTTTTTGGTACCCATAAAACTGGACATAGAACTAGCTTTGGTCCGTGCAGGTTTATTGTTCTCCGCATTGCCTTTACTCTTCAAGCTTAGCTGACAAAGTTTATTTTAACGAGAAATTTTGCTGTACAAATAAAATAACACAGTATAACCTTTACATGAGTCGGAGAACAAATAACTACTTTAATATAAACTGGAAAAAAAAATGTGTATTTACAATCAAACCATAAAAAATTGACCATAAGGCAAAGTCATCTAATGGAGATTCATTAATTCTAACTCGATGCTGTTTCACGCGTCATTATATCTATCGGAAATAAAGCAGGACAATGATTAATCTTATTCTAGTCATTGGTTCAAGTCTTATGTCATAATTATATCACAAGGCGAACTTCTAAGAGTGTAGCTATTTTCAAACTGGAAAGTTTTAGTAAAACAAAAGCAATGAAACAAAGCATTGATATGTTTTTAATTTTTAAACGATCAGAGTTTCTATTTGCAATTTTATCTCCGAAAATCGGCAGCAAAGTGTTGCAAGCAGCCAATGTTGACAAAACAATAAAGCTGAATACTAATAAATTAATTAATAATTAAGCATATGACTGCTTACCGAGGTAATCTTAATGAAAATACAAATCATTGTTCTATGATAATTAATCATGTTTGAATCAGCTGGTACCGCGGCGACATTGTCCTAAAATGCATGCTATGCCATAATTATTGCCAACTGTATTCTAATCGCTTTCTGTTCGTGTCATCCTTGCGGCCTATTTCTGCGAACCAGTCATCTTCAATCTCAACAAGAGACCTCAACCTCAAGACTTAACATAATCAGTTATCACTATCATAATTATTGCCGGTCTAATAATTAAGCATTGCTTAACTTACACTTAAATGCAATATTTAACAGGAGACGATGATCTGGAAGTGAACTTGCCTGACTACGGGGAGGATCCAGCCGATTTGCAGTTGTTACAGGATGTAGGGAAGTGAGTCTTTTTTTTTATATTCCTACTAGTCCAAAAGAAACGGGAGTAACAATTAGTTGTAGAAGGTAAAGGAGTTCATTATTTGTTTAAAATGCACACATTACTAACGGCCGCAGAGGTTCTCAGGCTTTAAAAATAAATAAATAAAGCACAGAGCGCCTCGACGCCACCTACCAGATTGAATTAAAAATCTAAATTAAATAGAGACCTATTCAAAAAACAGAACAAGATCAATTCAATTACTAACATGCGCACAGAAGAAATACATATATTTAAATAGATAATTATCTTTGTTCAGCCGTGTTTTATGTGCGAATTATGTTATCACACCAACACGCGACAAACGTCCTTGTATATGATAAATGTTATTACTTTTATTACCCGTTTAGTTTACAACGTTTATTAGTTGAGAAAAGTTAATAAAACACATTGTGTTTATTGTTTTTTCTACTTTGTGTTATGTTTACGTTTGATTAAAAGCATGCACCCCATCAGCACATTTCCCGAAGCACGAACACGAACTTAGGCTAGCAATTCCGTGATGTGGTTTCAGACGATCGTCGCTGATCTACGTTTTCAGGCGTGCCTGTGTGCGGCGCGGCGGCAACTGCGACCATCGACCGGGCGACTGCTGCCACTCGTCCTCCTGCCGCTGTAACCTCTGGGGCTCTAACTGCCGCTGCCAGCGCATGGGGCTCTTCCANGCACATTTCCCGAAGCACGAACACGAACTTAGGCTAGCAATTCCGTGATGTGGTTTCAGACGATCGTCGCTGATCTACGTTTTCAGGCGTGCCTGTGTGCGGCGCGGCGGCAACTGCGACCATCGACCGGGCGACTGCTGCCACTCGTCCTCCTGCCGCTGTAACCTCTGGGGCTCTAACTGCCGCTGCCAGCGCATGGGGCTCTTCCAGAAGTGGGGGTAGGAGACAACGACCGGAGCTCCTCTGAAGCGGCGACCAACTCCAGCCAGCCGACTTGACCGCCGCTCCACCGGAAGCCACAACATTCGCCAACACAAAACGGACCCGTTGCGTTCTTATTTTCCCGTTCTATTCCTTCACATAGTCCTTAATTATTTAAGCAGTTCAATTTAGTTAAATTCAAATTAAAAAACAGGGACTTAGATTTTAGTTTTGAAATATTTTTGGAACACTTATAAATATACAAAAATTTTGAAAATGAAATTCGGTTTAATTGTTGTTTTCGTTTTGTTAATTCGCTTGCTCTGGTTGATCGAGTGTCCGCTTACGTGGTTGGGCAATCACCCAGCCTTATTGCCCAATCAGTACGCCCTGACGCTTGTACTCGGTCAAACAGACCCCGGCAACTGCCCCCGGCGAGGAGTCTTATTATTTTCTTTACTCCTGTTTCCGTTTTCCTTGAAGATTCGTAAGCTCGGAGGCAGTTCCACTATTCTATCATATGTATGTATGTAGAGTTAAGTAAGCTAACAGTAGTTGAGTAAATCAGTAGAAGCTAAATATTGGTGGTAAACTTATGTCAATAGGAAGTAGATGACATTACAAAATAGAAAAAAAAAAACTAAATAATCATAAATGTTTTAGTCTATAAGTGAATATCGATTTAAATGAAACTTGGTGAAGAAACACGCCTTTGGATAACATCGTCACATGTATTTGCGATTGGCAACTTAGGTTCATAATATCTATTTAATGTCAATACATAATACATATAAAATAATGGAATTTTGAATGTACGCGACTCTCGTACAGGGGGTATAGATATGTATGGTATTGCAGCCTAGTAGAAATCTTCTATACGTAGCTTCTTATTGTACGTTCCTGAAAATGGAATATGATAATTTACTTATTACTTGTAATGGAATATGGAAAATGATTAATATATTAATAAATGTTTATGAACTACAAATTTGTTTCTGTTAATTCACAATACCAATCATGAGGTAATCAATAAGGAAAAGCCACTGAATCATTCAGTAATGCCTTCTTGAAATTTTAGTTTGTATGTACAAACTAGATTGAAGACTCAGACTGAAACTTTCCTCCTTCTTCAATCGTGCCCTATCGTGACTGTATTACGCTTTTTTTAAAGCTTAGACGGGCGAATAAGCTTTCGGTATATATTGTGTTGAGTAACTACCTGACTTTTTGGAACGAAGTTCCTTATGAGACGATGCGGAGGGGTACCCTAACCGGGAAAAAGCGTCCGTAACGTAAGATTTTTATTAGTAATGCATACAGTGTACAACTTAACTTTGTAATAACGTACAAAAAATAACATATTTACGATCTCAGAGCGTTCGTTTGCGCAATACTAATACTAACTGTTATGCAAACAACCGTGAATGAAGTGTACCACAATAAGTTCGCACGCTACCGAATGACCGTGGGTTGTTGCGAAACCTCCAGTTTTTTTTATACCTCGAATAGAACTTAAGATTAATATTTTTATAATAAGCAACTTCGTTCCTATCCGGTGTCCCACGACACCACACATCTTTTTTTTTACGCTGAGGAATCCGTTTACGGATACCTGGTCGAGGAGTAGCGAAGAAGAAGAAGAAGACTAAGGTCCTCTTTCTCCTTCAATTTCTTCCAGCCCCATCGAGCTCCATCACACCAGCTAGACGAAACCTACGGACCGCAGAGTGCGCGCCGAAAATCCGCCTTCGCCGGTACCTAACGTAAGGACGGGATTTCATCCCCGGGCAAATCGCGAAGGACGTCGTCTCCGGAGAGACACAACATAGGCAGCGCAGAGGAGCCACCTTGGGCCGCTTTCCCACCGGACCGACGAGTACCAGGCCTCTGTACCGAACAACAGATATCATAATGATAAATCCATCACTCACCTTGACACGTGGGCTAAGTCTTGATTGTGCTTTACTGTTTCGTGATAGAAACGCGCAGGGTGATTTTGCCTATCGATGTGGGCTCATAAGACGCCCTACCACCAGCCGAGTGTACTTCAAAGCATTTTAACTATGCTTTTGGTATTGCCGTTGTTGCTATATGCAAAATTAGCACGAGCTTAAAGAAAACGGAAAATTTAACGTATACCCCAAACTTTTTAGATACATCTTCATTAATCCTTTTGAATCCATCGGTAGACATTTTCGCTTCTCCGAAGTTCACGATTAATTGTTTCTCTTCGAGTGTTACTCGTCAGAAATAAACAGCGTAAACTTTTAAGTTCGTTGAAACTGTTGAAAATTCAGCAATTTCATGCAAAATGAAATAAATATAATTATATTACCTTATAAAAAACTTCGCACAATTACGATAACTTTTCACTTTGTCGGTTAATCCTATTTAGCAATTATCTCTCCTAACCGAAAAGTGTAGTCTTCAAATAGATTTTATGATCTATATTCGCGTGAACGAAATAATATCAGGATGATGGTTACATTTAAGTTATTAATCACTGTGAGCTATAATTTAATAATAAAGCGAAAAGAAAAGTCTTAATACATACTACATTCTTGTACATAATAGTTAGGTTCTTATTCGAAATTATTGTTCAATTTACCACAAGGAAATGTATTTTATTCAATTACTCAATTCCCTTAGCTCATTTTCTCATTTTCTATATACAATTATCGTCAACAGAAAAAACGAGAGCACCAAGAATATGTTCATGTATTTTGCGTGACAAAAATATAAATTGATTTCATGAAATTGCGCCTCTTCTGTTTCTACAAAAAGAAACAAAATGGCTTAGTCTCGTGTTTATTTTATTTTTTGTACAATTTCTGAAGGGAACTTTACATCTTCTGAAGGTTTACCCGGGGTTGATTAAAAGCACGAACCTAAATTTTTTATGCCAAAATTATGTATAAACAATAAATTTCCTAACTACTAACTGACATGAGCAATTAATATTTAAAATTATTAACTTAGCAGTTTTTAATAAGACTAAAGTTTTTTCGATATATTAATAGCAATTTCTTTGAATATGTATGAACCAAATCGAAGGCTGTGCCTAGTTTAGTTAAATAAGAGAGTAGAAGAGTCCCACCGCAACATACGTCCATATATCTAAATAAGGAAATTAATTTAGAGTCACCCGGGACCGTCGTTATACGCACGCGGAGGCTTCCAGCGAAAATATTCGTAAATAATATGTACGCGTGCGTAAAATATTATAGAGATTACTTTGCGTGGAAAAATTGTCAGGATATTTCAAAATTAGGAATATACTTATGTAACACCAACGACTTCCAGTATGAAAGATCTCCGTGTCCAATCAATCCAATCATATTCAATCTGGAAAAATATAAAATTTTGTATCTAAGCTTTCTGGTTTTGCCACAGAAAAATGTAAAGCATTTCGTTTTGAACGACAGAAAACCATAGTAGTAGGAACTAATTCAGGTTTCGACCTGGTGTCAAAAGGGGCGGTAGCACCATCCGCGTTGGGGTATTATTGGTAGGTTCAGTTGGATATGGACATTTAAAAATCAATTAAAAACTTAATCAAGAACGAATTCAATCTTATTAGAAGTTCAGAAGCAATATAGATATTGTCATTCGCTTTGAGTTACCATTTTAGCACCAATGGGTGAGACTGCTTCTGTACTCTCACCAAGTAATGCGAATGCCTTGTGTCGGGTGCTCTAGCATTAAATACTTATCTAACACGTGCCCGCAAATATTACCACCGTAAATAAATGAAAATAGCATCAGCAGCAAATGTAAAAAATGCCAAATTGTGTATTATTTGTAAAGAATAATGTGTGCCCGCATAGATAAGCACCATATATCATCAATCATGCGTTGCGTTTAAATTGGTAAATTACCTGTTAGATGTCCAAATTGGCGATCTAGTGAATCAATCATCAAGTGTCTAAACAAAGTGGGCGGCGGTTTCTTCTGACCTACAAATTACCATAAAAGCATACGGTCAGAACCTCAAACATCGCATTCATGTATAATAACCACTACTCTTAAACTTGTCGGTTGGTATCTTCAACATTTATCAACTTCTGGACATGAATGGTGCTCATCGCGCAACTTCCTCGATCACGTTACATTGTAGCACAATCTTAGCTGACTTACCAGGCTATGTTCAAAGACTAGTACAAACTGCATGCAGTGTTAGAAGTGCTCTTCACACATCTTACACAATGGTATTACTTACGAAATGTGTGAATTTAATTAACAAATAAACTTATATTAATAGATTACAAATTAATTAAATAAGTTATTTATAAATCGTTCGTCGCCCGTTAAGGAACAAAACACAGATTCTTGAATATTCTGTTTATCTCTCCTCTCTCTCCTCTTAATTACGTCTAAAGCGATAATGTCTACAAAATAACTCTTGTCACATACACACATAATTCAGAAATTATTTTACACAAATTTATAAACAGTCACAATTTGATTTTATCTTCGGTTTTCGAGACGTGGAAATGAGAAAAATAATTAAATAGGTACGATCGTAGTACACCGAATCATAAAACTTTCGTTATTTGGATCCTGAGAAAAGATTGGGACACCTTCAATTTACATTCATACCTGCCAAGATTACATTTTAGCATTCCGAATTATGTGTGAAATGAAGGAATTTATGAAAGCCGCAAATGGGTCGTAAAAACGTGCTAAGTTGCTGATTTCCTAGGTCCTTTTAGATTCGAACTTTTATAAGACCGTTCTGCTTTTTATGGAGCCTTTGAATACCCTATTCAGAGCGAGATTGCTTCTTTAAAAAGAAATTGTTTAGAAACATTGTCACAATGTACGTTACTGCGGGTGTTTAGTGGCCAATGTTCTGCCTCATAGCTTCGGTTTTTCAATGTTCTTCGTCTTTCACATCGAATTTAAGTTTATGCTGTATATGTTTATACGTTTATATTCTAGTACGTTCACGACCGAACAAACTCAGGACTAATCAGGTGTCCGCCGGTTCAACTAATAAATAGGTCTCAGAGGTGACAACTAATAAATATTGCAATCGACCATTTTGTCGCAATTGCATTGTATAGCAACTGTTTCACCCTTTAAAACAAAAGGCACGATTGTTTTGCGCAATAGTATTTTGCGGTAGTATCTAGTTGAAAAATTAGTTTTAGCATTTTATGACTTTTATTTGAAATCCTCGTTTTCTTCAAGCCCCTAAACCCCATTTAACAAGCGTATTTCGTTGTTTGGAGTTACGAAAACAAAAGTGTCCCAATAATTTCTCTTTTGGGAGATTTTAACGTTTTATTGTCTGCCGTTGTCGAAGCAGGGGCGTTCCTTGGAGAATTCAAGTCCAAAAATGTCCTTTTACACACAAACCTTTTTGTAGCGCATATTCTGAGCTTACACAGGCTAAGCCAACTGCCACTGCCAATGTCACGAAGCGATAAAGCGCTCCGGTTTTAAAAGTATAATGAAAATGCTTATCAATTTTGAAATTAATTGAAGCTGACCTATTTTTAGCGACAGTAGATCTTAATTGAAAATGATTCATCTTCTTTTTCTTTTGTTGTAGTCGGCAGACGGGTAGGTTACACCTCTGGTGGCGATGGGTTATCCCAAGTCACGCACATTGGCAACGTTAGGGGCATCACCATTTTTTTTTACCACCAGTTACCAATTTCTTACTGGTGGTAGGACCTCTTTTAAGTCCGCACGGGTAGGTACCACTACCCTGTCTATTTCTGCTGTGAAGCAGTAATGCGTTTCGGTTTGAAGGGTGGGGGCAGCCGTTGTAACCATAGTGAGACCTTAGAATTTATATCTCAAAGTGGATAGCGCATTTTCGTTGTAGATGTCTATGGGCTCCGGTAACCACTTAAAACCAGGTGGGCTGTGAGCTCGTCCACCCGCTGCCTACTCTTTTTAATTCTCCTCTAAAGAAGGACCTGCTATAGTGGTAGGAAACACCATGGTTTTTATTTTAATAAATAAAAATTTGCACGAATAAAAATTTGCACGAATACCAGCTACTTCCATTTCACTCCATACAGAGACGGGCTGTTCGGATGGTCGATAGTCCTGCTTTCGTGGATCGCTTGGAACCTCTGGGTTTACGGAGGGATTTCGGTTCTCTCTGTGTTTTATACCGTATGGTCCATAGGGAATGCTCTGAGGAATTATTCGAGATGATTCCTTCATCTCCTTTTTATCATCGCACCTCCCGCCATCGGAGCAGAGTTCATCCATATTATCTGGAACCGCTGCGTTCATCGACAGTGCGTTTCCAAAGATCTTTTTTGCCACGTACCATCCGGCTTTGGAATGAACTCCCCTCCACTGTGTTTTCCGAGCGCTATGACATGTCCTTCTTCGAACGAGACTTGCGGAGAGTACTTTAGGTAGACAGTGGCTTGGCTCTGCCCCTGGCATTGCTGACGTCCATGAGCGACGGTGCCACTTACCATCAGGTGGGCCGTATGCTCGTCTGCCTACAAAGGCAATAAAATAAAAAATACGGAAATCATAAATTCAGAATACACGAATAACATTCATTTGTTTTTGAGTATACACAACAAAACTATTTTCGTTCTATCCTATTATTAATGACATAATGTGATGACAATTATTAATTACTATCCGAACTCGCCCGCTTCGCTGGGCATTTAAAATTAACATTATTATTTATTGTCATTATTATTAGGGAGTCCAACACTCATATAAATATTAGCCTGTCCATTAAGTACATGTATTTTCTAGATGGATACCAAGTTTCAAGTCAATCGGATGCATGGTTCAGTAGTTATAACGGAACATCCGTAAAAACCACTCTATAGATTATCAAACCTCGTGTCATTCGGTTTCTATTAATCTTCTGATTACAAGTAATCCTATTGTGTAACATAATTGATATCACCCAGAATAAGCAAATTTCATGCTTTCTTAAGTTTCACATCTTTTAGATGAGCCAATGGGCATTAACATAATAACTTTTTGACTCCATAAAAACTGATTAGGTGCTTAAGAACATTTTGTTTAATTATAAGCGATTGTTTTTTTCTTTTTATTAATTACATAATTATTAAAAGTAGGTTGTGTTCATAGCATAAACATTTCCTCTGAGCCGAAAACAATGTATATATATTTTATGCACATAGTTTAAAAACTAAAACACACGCTTTAATAGCAAACCGAATCAACAATCAATTTCATCTTTTTTGTTATCCTATTGATACTGGTCGCGATATTAAAGCGAAGTTATAAAATTATTATATTGTCATCGGTCCTTGATGCATGTGCCAATATTCAAAGTAATCATCTCTCTTTAAGACGATGAAGGCGAAATCGCATAACAAACTTCTCCACTTCCACAAAATCTATTGTAGTTGGTACGCTTTTGTCGAACTTTTTTAGCTGTAAAAGGTTCGCTAATTGTTTTTCCTGTTAACCGTTCATTCCCATTTGTTTTCGCCAGCCGCAGTACGTGAGCAAACGACGAAGTGTATTGAAGTGACAGGACAAAATATAGGTGTGCCGTATTCGCGGCAAATTTTAAATGTGACATTATACATCGCCAATCGATCTCCACGTTCGGATCTATAAAATGACAGCGAAGCTACATCGCATGCACACATCGATTACGAACGGGAGTCGAGCAACACGCAACCAAATCTAGAATATTTAAAAATAAACGAATTCGACGATCGCAGGTAAGGTTCAATCTATACATTAATACGTGAAGTAAAAACTTTGTATCCCTTTTTACGAAAATAGCGCGGACGGAGGAGTATGAAATTTCGCACACTTATAGAGAATATAGAGAAGTGCACAATGCTAATATTTTTCTAAAATAATGCATAAAAGATACATTAAATCAATAAAGAAAACATTACACACACTACATACCATGTATTTGACGCACATACGCATGCATACTATTTATTGAAACTTTTCTTCTTGACGTCTGTGATCAAATTGAGAATAGATTAAATACATATTGTTTGTCTTTTTTGATATTTTTTTATAGTGTAGCCTTGGCGAAATTTGGGATTATAGAAGTATAAAATACAATCATAATAGTGTACAAACTTACAATTCCAATTAATTATAGTCGAATTTCGACTACTGCGGGACCACTAGTTATAATAAATTATCAAAGGCCTAGTGAATCTAGAACAGTGCACGCGTCCAGGAGCTCTGGTGCGTGGCAGTCCCAGGTGCGTGTGTGCATTTACTCATTTTTTGAATCCTAGACGTACATCGGGGACCTAGGATACCTTGCTGGGCAAGTTCCGTATACATCCCCGACCAGGGATCGATTGGTTTGTGTGTGTGTGTCGCGAAGATCCGGTTGAAACAAAACTACCGAGCCGGGAACCAACGTCTCACATACAAGAGACGTGGCTTCGCTGACACACGACGACACGAGCGATGTATTTCTGTGAAATAAAACTGTTTAAATAAAACCGAGGACATTGTCTCATCAACAAAAATAATTCCGGAACTGACTCGACACGAAAATGATGTACTTTAATGTTAAATGTGTGTTTAGTTCTTTGAAATTGAATAAAACCATTATTACATATTAATCAATTGGTAATTTAAATAAATATTTAGGAAGAATGTATTTTCAAATACTGAGTATTGGCATCGGGGTCATAAGGCGTGTTCAATTTCTATTGTAATTTAATACGTTTAAAAATTTACTTTCACATATTTTTGTTTCCGTATTTTTTTTATTGCTTAGATGGGTGGACGAGTTCACAGCCCACCTGATGTTAAGTGGTTACCGGAGCCCATAGACATCAACAACGTAAATGCCGCCATAAGACATGAGTTGTAAGGTCTCACTTATAACAGTACAACGGCTGCCCCGCCCTTCAAACCGTAACGCATTACTGCTTCACGGCAGAAATAGGCAGGATCGTGGTACCTACCCGTGCGGACTCACAAGACGTCCTACCACCAGTAAGATCCATCTAACTATACATCATATGCTAAACTTCAAACGGAAAAACGCAAATCAGTGTAACAGAGGCGACCATCCTATTTTGACAGCGTTGCGTGAATCGTAACTAAACTTGCAAACTAAAGAAATGTGCACATATAACGCTGTAAAGTCTGAAATAATGAAACAAAAATTTAAAAAAGCATTAAAATATTTAGTACCATAAATAAAAGTCAAGTGTATATGCGTAGTCTAAGCCAGGATAAGACCAAAAAATTCAAAAAATCCCATCCATACCCATAACGTTCACAAGCACGTTTAAAAGTTCGAAAAAGAAAAAAGAAAATCTACTACAAGCTTGTTATTTTGTACTTTTATTTTTAGTTACTATAAATAAAAGTCATCAGCATCGAAGCGTGTCTAAGCCATAAAAGGAAGGCGGAAGTGAGCTATTTAAATCCACCTTATTTTCTATCGTTAGCAGAAATATTGATTGAGTCTCTCTGATTTTTAGTACAAAGTCAGAGTACTTATAAGATTATACCGTTTTCATATCGGTATTTGGTACGAGGTTATCACTGGATACATTTATTTCACTTTTTTAATTAAATTTTAAATTCAATACGATTTTCATCTTGAAAGATTACCCTAGAAATATACATATAATTCCATTTTTATTTATTTAATGTGACTATCGACAGCGAAGACGTCTTATAAATAATACATTATGTAGTATATTATATCGGTTTATAACAAAATAAATGTGACGCAGAAAAATAAATTTTTCAACATTATTGTTATAGATTTTAGTCAAAAAATAGCATTCTAGTTTGGTGATATTTCCTAAGATTTAAAATTAATGAAATTATGAAGTAGGTATTTTATTTTTCAACTCTTCAAATACCATAACTTGAGTTTATTAAGTAGCACAATCGATCAACGTATTATAAATTTCATAAACTTCAAAATGTCTGATTGCCGTACAAATTTGCACACGTATGATCTTAGTGACAACGCAATGATTCTACTCGTATTACTGTTGCGCAAAATCTAATCAAAATTGACTTGCTATTAAATCATTTTTTAGTGCCTTAATCGATAAATAAAAGACCTAAACTTTATATAATTTCTAGAATTTTCATATTTATCTACCTTTTAAACCTTCTCTGGACTTCCAAGAATAATTCAAGACCAAAATTAGCCAAATCGGTCCAGCCGTTCTCGAGTTTTAGCGAAAGTAACGAACAGCAATTCATTTTTATATATACCTATATAGATTAAATCAAATTAAATTAAATATATTTCATTAATGACGACATCGTCCTAACGTAATAAGAGAGTAGAGAACTTGTTCTTGTCTAGAGCGGAAACAACTTTGTTTCATTAAATCGCGTTTATTTTTAGCTTGAACCGACTATTGACATTAGAAACCTCCCTGGGACGATAAATCAGGCTGCAGATGTAACGGGAAACCGTGACGCTAAATTATGACACCATCCTTGGTTTTATTTTTAGATAACGACATCCCCGGGATCTAATTAGCACTTAACACCCTGGCTATTTTTATGACAGCGAATGTAGAGTCTACAGTATAAATAGACGGAAGGACGGAAGTGTAGCAGAGCAAACAGATTACCTTAGATTAGTGGATTACCCATTGAATTAACCTTTAAACTCGTACAAACAAAGCAATTGTCACGGATTAGGAAATTCGGAAAGTGATGGGAACTTCGAAAATAAACTGGTAAAGCCCAATAAAGTGTACATACACTACATAGTTTTTGTCAATCAAAGGGATGAAATTGAATTAAAAATGATTAAAAATATAATAATAACGTGTAATTTTAGTGATATTCAAATGCTATATTATATAGCTAGTTCTTATTTTTCTGGGGGACAGATGTCCCCAGAACGATTGCTTTATGCAGTTTGACGTCTTAATGCTGACGTCATAGATGTCATGAACAGGCCGACGATTCGAGATAGAATGAATTGTGGCACAAACTGCTGAGCGTATTTATTGCGAATACAATCCCGCAATTAGATGATATTTAAAACTACAGGACATTTTACATGATAATTAATAATGTATTTTTGGAACGAAGTTCCTTAGCGCGCGTTGCGAAAGGGGGCTAGACGGAAAAAATTAAGACAAAATGTTGTAACGACACTTTTTATTATTGTCGATAAGGAAAAGACGCAGGAAGTGCTTTTTTTATTATTGCTTATATTGGTGGACGAGCTCACAGCCCACCTGGTGTTCAGTGGTTATTGGAGCCCATAGACATCTACAATGTAAATGCGCCACCCACCTTGAGATATAAGTTCTAAGGTCTCAGTATAGTTACAACGGCTACCCCACCCTTCAAACCGAAACGCATTACTGCTTTACGGCAGAAATTAGCGGGGTGGTGGTACCTACCCGTGCGGACTCACAAGAGGTCCTACCACCAGTACGCTAAACAAACATTAATATTGGTGTAGAACATTCCCGATCCTGCGGAAAGAATGGAAAGCAGTCGACGTCACCCCAAACACGTCATTTCGGATCCTCCCGATCCACTAACGGTGCTTTTAGGTACCTCAAGCACCGGTCACCGTTCTCGTCGAACTCGTCGCTTGCGACGAAGGGCTCAACGAGTAAATAACCCTCAGACACAGCCCACTGAGTTTCTCGCCGGATCTTCTCAGTGGGTCGCGTTTCCGATCCGGTGGTAGATTCTGCGAAGCACGGCTCTTGCTAGGGTTCGTGTTAGCAACATCATCAGGTTTGAGCCCCGTGAGCTCACCTACTGGTTAAGGCGACGCTGATATAGCCTCTCAAGGCTATCAGCTTAGGTAGGAAAAAAAAAGTGTAGAACACTCCGTAGACGAGCAGCGTAGCGGCGTAGCACCCGACGTAGCGCAGCCGCCGGTCGCCACAAGGAGACATTGTGTGAAGGATTGCGTGTTGTAAAGTGACCATTCGGGGCTTATCGGAAGCTTAATAAACCTCAATATCATTAATTAACTGAAGTGGAGAAGGGTATTGTATCCAACTATTTATAGATATAATTATTATATTAATACGCGAAGGAAAAACTTTGTATCCCTTTTTACGAAAATTGCGTGGACGGAGGAGTATGAAATTTCCCACACTTATAGAGAGTATAGAAAAGGAGTGCACAATGTTAATATTTTTTTTAATTATGCCTAGAAAATACATTAAATCAATAAAAAAACCATTACATACACTACCATGTATTTGACGCACACACGCATGCATACTATTTATTTATTGTCAATATTTCTTCTTGACGTCTGTGGTCGAATTGAGAATAGATTAAATATTGTTTGTCTTTATTAATATTTTTCTATAGTGTAGTCTTGGCGATATTTGTAATTATAGAATAGTCTTTGAAAATAGTGTACAAACTTTTAATTTCAATTAATTATAGTCGAATTTCGATTACCGGGCGACCACTAGTTATAATTATTTTACAAATAGAGCTGTACGACCCGACGTTGGCGTGGCTATTGTTTACATACAAAGCAAACGACTGAGTCACGCGCCGCACCATCTGTTCCTGTCTTTTGTCTTGTCTTGTATAATTTTTGTTGCATTTATACGTGAACTAATAAACGAATATTGGATAATATAATATTGCTAGCTTGTTGAATTAATTAATAAATTAATTTCACATATGTGTGTAAATATAACGATACAGACTGGCGGTTGGGCGACTTGTCGTCATTGTGGAATATCGCAGATTTAATGTATAT